TACTCCTTAGCAAACCAATGTTTTTTCACATTGAGGAGCTTTGAAATGTCTGTGTAATACAAAATATCATCTCTGTAATGAAAAGAATTGATTCATTGTTTTATTTTATCTAACTTAACCCGCGCCCCGTAGGGCTACCGGCGGACCCTACCACCCGTAGGGGGGGGGGGGGGGGCGTTTCGGCCCCCCCTAAGATCTCGGAAAGTTACCGGCCGATTTTCAAAATTCAAACGGCGTTCGATAGCCCCACCCGGGAACTACCTTGTGACCAAATTTCATTGACCTAGGTCAAACCGATGACGTCACAGGTCAGGTCAAAGGTCAGATTTTCACCGTTCACAGGCAATTCAAGAAATGTGCTGTGAAAGCGAGTAAATTGGTAATTTATTGAAAACCATCGATGGTACATTGTTCGTCAAACACATACTTTGCTATCTGAGGTCACTGATACCAGGTCAGGTCACAGCGAGGTCAGGTCACCGGGGGTCACAATATGTATGTGTCGTGTGATACATGTTTTATGATCCATTTTACATGACAAATGCGATTTTGTGGGTTAGGCAGCCTTTGGGGCCAGCCTAGGTCACGTTTTTGTGAAGGTCAGGTCAAGGTCAGGTCAAATTAGGTCAAATTTCAAAGTTGATATTTTTGCATAAAATGGGTATCGATTCGATGCAGCTCGTCACGGGGAGTCTAATGGTGGTCTTTGTTTTGCTCTACGAGTTCTAGAATTGCCAAAAATTGAGTTTGAAAATTTGACGTCATCATTTTTGAACAGTTTTTTCGCTATAACTTGGCCAAAAAACGAGGTATCGATCTGAAATTTGGTATGTAGATAGAAGACGGTAGGCACTATCACATATATTCCGGTTTTTTCGAAACTCAAAAAACTTTTTGGATTTGTTGGCGAATATATCCAAAAAAATGCTTTTTTGATTTTTGGGGGTCAAAACTCAAAAAATTCAAAAATTCGAGATAGCAGTTTTGTAGCCCTGTCAATTCTACACCTTTAATGTCTTGATCATTTTTCTGTATCTTCAAAGCTGTAGTCCTGACAGGTCTTCTCGCGAAGGTCTTTTTTCGGTCGAAAATGACAGAACATGACGTCACTCTGACGTCATTTGTGGCCAACCTATCATAGCCTCTGGAAAAATTTTTGGTCACAATGTGTAAAATTGATGCCCGGAGGGGTCCTGAAAGTTTGGTGGCGATATCTCCAGCCGTTTAGGAGATATCGACCGAAAAGGACAGGGGGGGCCGTTTCGCCCCCCCCCCCTACGGGGCGCGGGTTAACAATCGGACATTGTAGGTTTGACAACTTTTTGGCTTTTGCCCCACCAACTTTCCTGGAAAAGCTCCACCTATGCATCATCTGTGATCAAAACTAACATGATATTCGTGATCAGCGCCCCGAAAAACCCCATAGCAGACACACTTTACGACGTTATAACAGGTCCCGATTTTCCCGACTTTTGGGTCATTGACCTGACCTGAGGCCTCTTGCACCAAACTACCTAGCTAGGTAAAATCGAAAAACCGGTTTCAGAATAAGCTAATTTAACGGTGGTCAATTTGTTTGCAATAGCCCAATACATAATCCTACATGTGCTTGCTAAATTTTGCACGCAAACTGTTACATTTGAGACTTGGACTGGGTATACGATGCAAAATAATCCAAGCATTGGTGCAAGAGGATTTTGGTGCAAGAGGCCTCTGCAAGGTCAATCAATGACCTAGGACCTTAAAATTAGGTATCATCGGCTTCCTCTCGTCACGGGCAACACGCTCGTTTTTTCCGCGAAGCTCTAGCTCGATCAGGGGCGAAACGGCAAGGGGGGGGGGTCCAACGGACCCCCCCCCCCCTTATACGTTCGCGGCTGGAAAAACACCAATACGGGCGAGGGTTAAATCGGAAATATTGAATTTCAAAATTGCAGCATTTTGATTCAGAGGGGCTAATGCATAGGAATACCCCTCTGAATGTGTGACGTCAGCGCAGATATCTAACGATATGTTTGACTAAAACGTTTTGTAGCACGCGGTGGTATATGCTGCTTTGCGCGCAACAAGTGCCGCACTTTCAGCTGCCAAACTATTGCTTCCAAATAAAGTCGCTAGGAACAGCTAGGAACAGCGGAGATCCCAAAAAGTAAACAAAAGTAAAAGTCTAATATCTTGAAAACCGGTGAATATTTTTCGGTGAAATTTGGTAGATATTCGTTTTCGCTCTTTCTGAACCGAGCGACATCACTTTCATGCCAATTCATAAACTTTTTTGAAGGTGGGAGGGTCCCTTTAATTGTAGCAAATCAAGCGAGGTGTAAAAATGGCTTCCTTGAACGGAATGATGGGCAGGACTTTCACTTTCATCATATCGGCGGAGCTCACCACTTCCTCTGCCGACCACTCTCGGTCCGCGTCCGTGCGCTATTGCTCACGCGCTTCGCGAGCGTGCCGCATGTGTTCCGCGTGGCCATCACACGCTGATCAGCCCTCCACATGATCCGGTGGTTCCGACAGGCTGATGCCGTGGCATTCTTGTAGATGCCTCAGCTGAAGCGAGCACTTCGAGCACTCGAAATGCCCTGATCGCCTGACCTGATCGCCTGACACTGATCCCTCTTAACCTGCGTTCCGAAGGTGGGGGGGGGGGCTTCGCCCCCCTCCTGTCCTTTTCCGTCGATATTTCCTAAACGACTGCAGATATCGTCACCGAACTTTCAGGACCCCTCCGGGCATCAATTTCAAACATTGTGACCAAACGTTTTTCCAAGGGCTCTGATACGTTGGCCGCAAATGACGTCATGTTCTGCCATTTTCGACCCCAAAAAAGGTTTCCCGGGAATAGCTGTCAGGCCTACAGTTTTGAAGATACAGAAAAATGCTCAATGTGTAGAATTAGCAGGGCTATAAAGCTATCATCTCGTACTTTTTGAATTTTGGGATTTTGACACCCTCAATCAAAATTTTTTTTAATATAATACCCCCAAAAATCAAAACTTTTTCGAATTTCGGAAAAAATGGGAAAATAAATGATAGTCCCTTCTACCTCCTATCTACATACCAAATTTGAGATTGATACTTCTTTTTTGGCCAGGTTATAGTGAAAACATTGTTCAAAATTGATGACGTCAAATTCTTAACCTCAATTTTTAGCAATTTTAGACCTTGTAGCGCAAAACAAAGACCACCATTAGACTCCTCGTGACGAGCTGCATCGAATCGATAACCATCTTATGCCAAAATTTCAACTTTGAAATTTGACAATTTGACCTGACCTTGACCTGACCTTCACCTGAACATAACTTAAACTGGCCCCAAAGGCTGCCTGACGCACACAATCTCGTTTGTCATGTAAAATGGACCATAAAACATGCATCACACGACACTCGTATTGTGACCTGCAGTGACCTGACCTCTGTGGCCTGACCTGGTATCAATGACCTCAAATAGCAATATAATGTGTTCTATGGACCATTCCCCCATCGATGATTTTCAATAACATGCCTTTTACTCGATTTTACAACACATTTCTCGAAATGCCTGTAAACGGTGAAAATTCGACCTTTGACCCGTGACGTCATCGGTTGGACCGACGTCAATGAAATTTGGTCACACTCACAAGGTAGTTCCGTGGTAGGGCTATCCAACGCCGTTTGAATTTTGAAAATCGGCCGGTAACTTTCCGATATCTTAGGAGGGCCGAGAGCCCCCCCCCCCCTCCCTACGGGTGGTAGGGTCCGCCGATAGCCCTACGGGGCGCGGGTAACGGGTTAACTACCGAGGGGACCTCTGAACGCGTGGAGCTGCCCTCTGAAGCGAGCTCATGATGGGGATCTCTGACTAACATCTGAAGGGTCCTCTGTTAGTGTAAAGGTACCGCTATTTGCGTGAGAGGCCCTTTTTGGACAGAGAGGGCCTCCTGTCGGTCTGAGGGCCCCCGATTGGCCTGAGGGGCACTTTGTTCGTCCGAGGGGGCCTATATCAACTAGTGGGGCCTTTTCCCCACCTGAGGTCCTCTGTCGACATGAGGGAGCTCTGTCAGTCTCAGGGTCCCTCTCGACCTAGGAGAGGCCCTCCGCTGTTCTGAGAGGCCCTTGCTGGTCTATGGGGCCCTCTGTCGACCTGAGAGAGCCCTCTGTTCACCTGAGAGGCCCTCTGTTAAATGTTAATCTGTTTGTTTTCGACTGATGATCTGATCCTATGTCGGTTTGAGGGATCTCAGATAGGATCCACTGTCGATCTGAGGGCCCCTATCGGTTTGAAGAGGCCCCAATATGATCTGATGGACCCTAGTTTGTCTTAGAGGGCCCTCCGTCGGTCCGACAGGGCCCTCTGAGAGAGCAAGGGGACCTTTTGTCGGTCTGAGTGGCCCTTAGACGGCTTACGAGGCTCTCATGGGCTGTAGGATCCTTTGACGGTCTGAAGGACCCTCATCCGACCTACAGGGCCCTCAGTCTGCCTTCATAACCGGCTGAGCGACTATGAAGCAGCTATTCGCGGGTCTTTCTAGCAGGGACCCATGGACTGCTTGCCCCCTCAGTTCTAACTTTTTTAAAATACTTATTTATCAGTTTGTTTGGGCCCCTCCTAAAAATAGTGGATGAAATCCGACGACTTTTTGGATTTTGAGGGGGTTACCTTGGGCCTCTGTAAGTTTGGAACCCCCCTTGCGGAAATCCTTGCTACGCCCCTGTAGTCTTTACTCCTAAGGCGTCCTGAATTTAGTGAACGCAGTTTGCTGATAATGCGGCACATATGGCACGGATCACCGCAAATGTCGGATTAAATTGTCATTTACCCTCATCCGAGACATTCGGTCAGTAATTCAGAAGATGTAAAGTTGCATGAGGAAATCACTGCTGTAACAACTGAATAGTGTGCGGTGGCCTTTACTCTGTGAGACGCGCAGCGGAATAAGAAATTTCAGCAGGTACTCATCAGCTATCATTAACACTATCAATCACCCCATCACGGACACCAACGATACAAACACGTGCTTGGCAGCAGCTTGCGCATTATTCGGCATTCGCATTTGTAATCCAAGACCAGCGCAGAGGCATCGCGCATGAAATCGACAAAGTAAAATATTAAGTTCATGATAAAAAAGCCTGTCCACACCTCGCACGTAATGTCAAGAGAAATATAAAGATACGATTAGCAGGTCAACCTCCTAAATCGGTATTGCAAACTCGTAGTCCAGATCACCCAGCAACAGGACAACATTGAATCGGAGCCTTATCAAACTCCCCCGCCGCGTAGCTGCCCTCAGTTATCTTGAAGGCAGCCATGTTCTGCCAGCGCAGCCTCCAGCGTGGCGCGCGCGTGCTCCGTGAGACCGGTGCACAGCTGCAGGGTGCCCTTATCGACCAGGTACTCGCCCAGAACGCGCCACAGCATTTTACCGTACTCGTTGAGGAGATAAGGTCCGAAGCGCGCCAGGTCGCGAACACTGTCGTGAAGCGCTCGGCGCGATGTGTTGGCGAACTCGTGCAGCAGCCAGCGCACCAGCTCAGTCTCGGCGCTCGACAGCTGTGGCGCGTGCATCCGACACCCGTCCGCCAGAGAACGGGCTAAGCGCCGCTGCGCTCTCCAAAGGAAGTCGGCGTAACCAGGCGAGTCGAAGTAGAAACCGACCTGGACGTGGAGCCGTACCTCAGCCGGACGCAGGTAGCGGATCTGCTTGCGGTACAGGTCCACCGGCGGCGCGCCGAGGAAGAACACGTCATCGTACAGGCGGATGAGCGCGTGCCGGCCGACCGAGCGGCGCAGCACCTCCTCTGCGGAGACTTCGCCGAGCGGTGAGAACCGGCAGCAGGCGCCCACGTCGGAGAAGGAGGCACCGCTCTCCTGGAACACCACCAGGCCATGCGAATCGAGCCGCTGCACCTGCTCACCTTCGATGTTGCTGAAGGCGGCTGCAGAGCTTGGCCTCTGTACTACAGCCGGATGGAACGGCGGCTCCGGACCGCCGCGGTCGCGCGCCTGCTGCCGCATGTCCTGGTGGATAGTGAACAGCGCATGCTCCCCCCTCTTCCACGCAGCAGTTGCCGCCCTGACGAGGTCGTGGCAGTTGACCATGTCGCAGAGCAGGTCTGCCTCCCATTGCTCCTGCATTGGGAACAGGCGCGCCAGGTACAGGAACGGCGACCGCTGCGTGAACATAGCCTCCGGCGCCAGGCTGAAGATGGTCGCGCTGTGCGAGATCAGGTGCATGTGCTCGGCGCGCTGGAGCACGCCTCTCACGACCGCCATCGCCTGCGGCGTGTGACACTCTATGCGGCGGAGGTACTCGCAGAAGAAGACGAACTCGTAAGAGTACAAGTAGGCGTAGAAACACGCCACGTTGTGACCTCGTTGATACTGTCCAGCTCGGATCATCGACACTATCTCCTGGCGAGAGAGGTTGGCGGGTGCGAGGAACAGGTCATCGTATACGCGGACCGGCATGGTGCCCCGGTGGATGAAGCCCTCGGCGTCGATGTCGCCGCACTGGCCGTCAGGCGGTTGGCAGACGCGCTGCACCCTCAGCTCCGGGTGTTTGCGGTAGAGCACTGCGCGCACCGCCTGCTCGGCGGCGCACTCGGCCGGCGGGCTGCGGCCCTCGGCGGCGTCCCGCAGCGCCTCGAACAGCTGCCGCCGGCGCCGCACGTCGATCGGAGGCGGCGCCCACCAGGGCTCCGGCTCGACCGCGCCCACGGCGTCCTCTATATCGGAGCGACGGTAAACGGGATCTGCGCGGGTGGCCGCCAGGAGGCGGGCGCGACTCCACAGCGGCGCCACCTGGCGGCGACCTGGGGCGGTAGCGGCGCCGCTCGACGGACAACCTGTTCTCAGGAGCGCTGGTGCATCACTCGGAGAGACGGGAGACAGGTCGAGTGCAGTGGCCACCAACGTTGCTGTGTTTGACTCTACAGATGCCGGTGAAATCCTCTGAAGTTTGGCATCAAACCGCTCTTCACAAATTTTATCTGAAGACGGTCTTCGTGCTATGTTATTTTCATTGTAGGATGGGCATAGACCCCTTGAGTTCTTGCGAGTGCGGTTATTCTCAAGTGGTTCAATATTCTCCCTATTATCTGCCTCATAAGACTGAAGCTTTGCCTTTCGTGGGCTTGATCCGAACCTTTTCACATTTGCTGCAGCCATTTGACTTTTATCCTTCAGCGCAGTGTCCACATCCAGCTCCGCTGGACCACTTGTTACTTTTTCTTGTCCGCCCGTTACGTCGTTGGTGATGACCATGTCTGATTCTGAGAATGAAAACAAACGTTAGTGACATAATTTATGGTTGGGACACAATGACGGCTGTGATAAGCAAAAACCCAATTGTCTAGGTTTATTGCATACAAATGCTTTTTTGTCATTTTTCAGCCGAAGTCCTGTTCTGACGATTCTTTCCAACAGTACATAATGTATCTAATGAGCATGTTTGCTAGTGAATATTCAAGTCTAAGAGTGGCCCAAATAACGGAGAGGATACCTTGGTTAGATCAATGTAATTCAAAACTTACGATAAAATGCGATTAGCTAGGATTGCATTTATGCTGATGTGAGAGTTATCAATAATATATTAAGCATTACTATGACACACACAAAAAAAGCAGTAAACACGAATAATACTTTATGATCTCGCCCAGAGTTCGCTCTTGCATGTCCTGATCCTGTCCGCCCCTGAATAAAGCTGCGGAGGTTTTGAGCAGAGCATGTCTTTGCCATGGCTGAACCATGGATGAAGATCCGGGGCTGGACAAACCAGGGTTAGCCAGTAACAGTTCGCAGCATTAAACCAAATGGGCGCTCGAAAACTATTATCCCATTGGGTTGTCATGTTAGATCAACCTTACTGCGGAGGCCAGCACAGGTCTAAAAAGCTTTGGGCGCTGCCCGATGTTCCAATGTATATAAGATCTCTATGCCAAAAGCATCTTTTTTAGGCCACAAGTTCCTGCGCATGCGCACATTACCGCACCCTTGTACCTTGTACTACCGCACCCTAAACCAAGGGCCAAACGTGCACAACAATCCAATTATTGAGACATGTCTGCACACCGGCAAGTTTTTTCGTGACCGCAACAGATACGGGCAGTGAAAAAAGACGCAGAGTGTATGGCGAAGCTCGCACGCAAGGAAATCTCAGTGAAGAAAAGTAAAGGTTCGTGTCAGACAAGCCGAAAATGGTGAAATGTAGGGAACTACTCCAGGACAGCAGTGACATCGCGGCTGTTGGCTGTGAGGCTATTTGAGACAGGCTTCGACTAAAACAATAACTTTCATAATATAAATATTTATATCTAGCCGAATGCTCTGGAGGCTGGACGTGTCGCTGACGCTGCCGGTGCTGGCCGAGCCGGCCGCACTCTGGGCCGACTGCGCCGAGCCGCTGCGGCCATGATGCCCGACCTGAACCAGTAGGGGCATTCCACGATAGATCGACCAAAAAAAGAATAAAATTTACACCCTCATATTTTATTTTTTGCTTAAAATTGGTCTAATGGGTCATGATGGGTGGGGAACCCAGCTGTGGCAAGGATTTTTTTCTTCGAACAACGGTTTCCGAGATATAGCCTCGGGCAGTTCCTGGAGGTCACGCTGCAACCCTATGTTTGGCGGCTTATAACTCAGAAACTATTGGTTTTCTATGGTAAAAACTTTACATGGTTCAACTCGCAATCAACCAACAAACGTTTTGGCTATCTCGGATTTTCGATTTTTGAAAATTTCGATCACGTGACATCTTGACCCTTTTTTTCGAAGAGTGACCTTGATATTTTCCCAACTGAAAGTCGCAATTTTGTCTGATGACGATTAAAGCCTTATTGATTGTCATTCATATGCGATAATAAAAAAGTGGCTTTCGGCCTGCGTTGACCTCAGGTCAGGTCATTTTTATGACCTTCCCATTATTACGAGCGGGAGCGACAGCGAGATTTCGAGAACAAAGCAAGATAGCGACAAGCGGTAAACGGCACAGGGTACACATGGATAAGGTCTACAATTTTTACTCAAGTCATTTTCAGGTCAGGTCAAAGATGACGTCACAGGGGTAAAAAGAAAGTCTAAATGGCGGCACTACATATATACGAAGTTTATCTCGAATAACTTTCAAAGTATCCCAGCTAGGAACAAACTATGTAATAGCACCATCGTGATCCTCTCGTCGATCCGCATCGAAACATAGGTATGTATGTCGACCTCGAAACATCATATATATATATATATATATATATATATATATATATATATATATATATATATATATATATATATATATATATATATATATATATATATATATATATATATATATATATATATATATATATATATATATATATATATATGTTACAGGGAGTTTGAGAAACCAGTTAGTTTGCAAACTACCTAGGGAGTTTGCAAACTCCCTGAACGATCAGGTAGTTTGCAAACTCCCTAGGTAGTTTGCAAAGTACCTGGTCGAACAGGTAGTTTGCAAACTCCCTAGGTAGTTTGCAAAGTCCCTAGTTAGTTTGCAAACTCCCTAGGGTTGTTGCAAACTACCTAGGTAAAATACGAAAACGACGAAACAACAGCCATATACGAGTACATATGTAGATAAGACGCGATGAATTGGTTCAGAGCTCAGAATGAAGCTTGGCAGCAATGGTGCATAACGAGACGATGTGGTGTTTTGATGACGTTCTTTCGCAGCTTACTATCTATTTTATGTCTTGCTCGCAAATATCACCTTACAGATTAATGTCTGCCTTTTTTCTTGTAGTCGACAACATGTTACGTTGCCATCCACCTCCTTTCCTTGGATGTCAGCGGCCTCTCCTCCACCGGTCTGGCGTCCATCAGAAAGCGGATGACGTCGCCATGTTCGGCGTCTTCCACGACTCGAGTTATTGCCGCTCATCGCTTCCTCCCACTCGCGGAACCTCTGATCGAACAGTTCGCGAGACATCCCCACAGAACCACAGAGCAGCCACAGAACAGAAATTGCGATCACTATGCTGCCTCTTCCCACTCCGCTCAGCACTGATGACCCGCCTGCACTGAGCACCGTCTACCAGCCGTGACCCGACAGCGCCTGTCATCCGTATCCCGCAGGCACACACTGACCTGACCTGTCAAGCTCAGGGCAGTCGACTGCTGGCTACCAGGATCGGGTGGGAGCGGGTCGTTGGGTTGACTAAAGATGACATCCTGATTTCTAACCCGCGCCCCGTAGGGGGGGGGGGGAGCGGGGCCGAAACGGCCCCTGCCCTTTTCCGTCAATATCTCCTAAACGGCTGCAGCTATCGCCACCAAAATTTCAGGACTTCTCCGGGCATCAATTTTACACATTGTAATCAATTTTTTTCCAGGGGCTATGATAGGTTGGCCACAAATGACGTCAGAATGACGCAATGTTCTGCCATTTTCGACCGAAAAAAGGCTTCGCGAGAAGAGTTGTCAGGCCTACAACTTTCAAGATACATAAAAATGATCAGACATAAAAGGTGTGAAATCGACAGGGCTGGAAAACTGTAATCTCGGAGTTTTGAATTTTTTGATTTATGACCCCTAAAAATGAAAAATGTAATTTGATATATTACCCAAAAAATAAAAAAGTGTTTTGAGTTTCGAAAAAACGTCAAAATATGATAGTACCTACCGTCTTCTATCAACATACCAAATTTCAGATGGATATCTAATTTTTTGGCCAAGTTACAGCGAAAAAAAACTATTGAAAGATGATGACGTAAAATTTCCAATTCAATTCTGGGCAATTCTAGACCACGTAGGGCAAAACAAAGACCACCATTAGACTCACCGTGACGAGCTGCATCGAATCGATACCCATATCATGCAAAAATATCAGCTTTGAAATTTGACCTTTTTTTGACCTGACCTTGACCTGACCTTCACGAGAACGTAACCTAAGCTGGCCCCAAAGGCTGCCTGACCCACATAATTGCATGTCATTTTAAAATGGACCATAAAACATGTATCACACGATACTTTCATATTGTGACCCCCCAGTGACCTGACCTCTGCTCTGTGACCTGACCTGGTATCAATGACCTCAGATAGCAAAGTAGCCAAAAATTGAGTTTGAAATTTTACGTCATCAAATTTGAACTGTTGTTTCGCTATAACTTGGCCAAAAAAGAGATATCGATCTGAAATTTGGTATGTAGATAGAAGACGGTAGATACTATCATATTCCTATTCCGTTTTTTCGAAACTCAGCAAACTTTTTTTATTTTTCGGTTAATATATCGAACTTCATTTTTTATTTTTTGGGGACGAAAATCAAAAATTTCAAAAAATCAGAGATAACAGTTTTCAGCCCTGTCGATTTCACACCTTTTATGTCCCATCATTTTTCTGTATCTTCAAAGCTGTAGGTCTGGCAGCTCTTCTCGCGAAGCTCTTTTTTCGGTCGAAAATGGCAGAACATAACGTCATTCTGACGTCATTTGTGACCAACCTATCATAGCCTTTGGAAATTTTTTGATCGAAATGTGTAAAATTGAAGCCCGGGGAATTCCTGAAAGTTTGGTGGCGATAGCTGCAGCCGTTTAGGAGATATTGACGGAAAAGGACATTTCGGCCCCGCGCCCCCCCCCCCCTACGGGGCGCGGGTTAGAAATCAGGATGTCATCTTTAGTCAACCCAACGACCCGCTCCCACCCGATCCTGGTAGCCAGCAGTCGACTGCCCTGAGCTTGACAGGTCAGGTCAGTGTGTGCCTGCGGGATACGGATGACAGGCGCTGTCGGGTCACGGCTGGTAGACGGTGCTCAGTGCAGGCGGGTCATCAGTGCTGAGCGGAGTGTGAAGAGGCAGCATAGTGATCGCAATTTCTGTTCTGTGGTTGCTCTGTGGTTCTGTGGGGATGTCTCGCGAACTGTTCGATCAGAGGTTCCGCGAGTGGGAGGAAGCGATGAGCGGCAATAACTCGAGTCGTGGAAGACGCCGAACATGGCGACGTCATCCGCTTTCTGATGGACGCCAGACCGGCGGAGGAGAGGCCGCTGACATCCAAGGAAAGGAGGTGGATGGCAACATAACATGTTGTCGACTACAAGAAAAAAGGCAGACATTAATCTGTAAGTTGATATTTGCGAGCAAGACATAAAATAAATAGTAAGCTGCGAAAGAGCGTCATCAAAACACCACATCGTCTCGTTATGCACCATTGCTGCCAAGCTTCATTCTAAGCTCTGAACTAATTCATCGCGTCTTATCTACATATGTACTCGCATATGGCTGTTGTTTCGTC